AACACAGATGAAAGTTCTCTGACTGCTAAGTTTTATAATCATGCATAATCATTTTATTTGGCAGATCTTTTAATTCTATTTGCAAAAGTAACTTCGTCAAGGAGTTTTTTGTTTTTAATTCTCAGTACTTACCCTTTATTATTTAGTGGTGATGTGGGAGACAGGGAAGGACAGGTTCTCTTGGCAGATGGCTCTTCCTCCTCTTCATCAGATGAACTGTCTATGGTGAGGTCAATCACCTCTACTTTCTTATTTTTATTTGAGGACTGGTGGTGAGAAGTCACCTGGTGCTCTAATGTGGAGCTCAAGCATCCTGTGTGGGGACGATTAAAACACAAGGCAAAAAAGACCTATGACATCTCTCTTTGTTTCCGCAATGTGTCTATGGATTAGCTGATCAGTTACGGGTCAGAGAGTAGAAAAGCAACAGTGGTTCTGTTCCTCTAAGCTTAAAACTACTATTTATTATTGGTTGTTACAGGATTTTTTGGAAAAACAATTCTGAATTAGGGCACACAATCAGAACATACGTCCACTTCAGAATAAAAGTCGTCTGAGGGCAAAGACTACATTGCACATGTCTACCTGTACATTACCTGATACACTGAGAAATGTTATGGTAACATTTTAAAAAGCCATAGCCTCCTTCCAGCAGAAAAAAAAAAAGCCAGGGAAAAAATGTAAATGAAAAAGGAACATTTACTAATCTGTACCAAGTCTGTTAAAAATTTAAAAGGATAAGATACCATTTCAAAAGCATGACTTTACAAATAACTTTTTAGATTATGTCACTTTGAAATCTTATACCACAGAATTTTAAAAGCTGGCAAAAGTAAATTTAAGAAGTTTCACTACTTCTGAACATTTAATCAATAATTTAATAAGACTTATTGAGCTCTCCATAAACTGCTGAGTGTTTTTTAAAAAATTTATGCATTTTAATATTAAAAACCAAGGCTCTACAACCGCAGGGAGACTGCACCACCCTTTTGGAAAAGGAACACTCACCATCGACTCCATTGTAAGAGGCAGAAACTTCCTGTACTTCTTTCTTTGACCTCATAGGTGCCCAAGAGCCATCCTCCTTAAACTGTATTTCATCACAATCTGTACAGTACTTTAGGATTTCCATAAACAAGCTATAAAAAACAATTTGCCCTTTGAATATCATATTCTAAATTAAGACATAAGAATCATTACTCTTCAAAAAACATTCAGAACTTCTATGTTTGGTACAAGTATAAATGAGAAGGAAAGTGGAAACACAGAAGGTGTATTTGTTCTCAAAAATCTACGGCTAAATAGGAGAACAGTTATTTAAATTATGGTAACTTGATGCAAGAAAATATCATATAACAATGACAAATGAGGTTTCCAAAGATTTTTAATAATATGGGAGGAAAACTATGTTCACAGAAAGTGAGAAGAGGCCAGAAAAAGACAATTCAACATTTTAAAAATAAAATTCTGTGTATAAGTGGTATATAAATAGTGTTTATCTCTGAGTGGTGACATTGTGGATATTAACTTTTTCTTTATACTTTTCTATATAATCCAAATTGCCTATAATAAGCACATCTTATTTGATGAACTGAAGCACTACATAAAAAAACATGTATTGAAAGTTTAAGTCTCCTTGATAAATACCAAGCAGATATTAAAAAACAAGATTTGCAAAAATGTGTAAAATTAATGATCAAATTCTTGGGTTATAATGTTAGATGAAACCAAAGGATAAAAAATACTAATATTGTATAAATACAATTATGGGAAAGTAAAAATCGGAAAGTAACACAACATAAAAGCTTTTTATTTTCCTACGTTTTCCAATTTTTCTTTAGGGTGTGAGTGTGTGTGTGTGTGTCTATGTGTGTCTATGATGTATGACCTTTACAATGAGAAAGAAAAATCCCAATTGATCGGGGCATCTAAAGCTATATAAATATACAGAGTTGGTAAAATATTATTATTCAATTCAGATTTATCGTCTCTGAAAAATTAAACATAAAACATTTAAGTAACATGTTTACTTGTCCCTGTATGACTGGTCTGACATCCTCCACGCTCTGGGTTACACTTGTATTGCTAAAGGTACTCCATTCCTTATGTTACATCTTAGAGTCCTGTGTTTTCTCAGATACTTTAGGTAAGTTGCCTTAAGTGTTTTGCTAGAGAGTATAGGAAACATCAACAGATCCTTCTTTTCACAACAGCAAAAAGGAGGTTAGAGAATGGGAGAAAAATTAAAGGGACATTCCAAGGTGTCCGGAAGGGCAGATAAAACACCAGTGTTTAAAACAAACAAAAAAAAACTGTTGTGATGCTGTGGGTAGAGAAGACAGACAGAGGTAAGTATTTTAGAGAAAAGAGAAAAACAAAGAGAACTGCTTTTCAGTGTACTGACTCGCTTTAGAAGCCTGTGCAGCAGGGACTAGGTATGATGGATGACGAGAAAATCTACAAAAACAGGCAACTTAACTAAAAAGCCCACATTTTGGTCAGCTTAAGTGAATCAGAACTTGGTCATTCTTTCATTCTTTCTCTAATCTGGTCTGCATGTCTAGGGACAGAAGGAGTCACGCTAGGACAAAGTGTAAGCACACACCCTGCTTAGAACCACTGGCGCTTTAAACAGCAAATGTCAGGATGGACGGACGGACAGTAAAGCACACATTTTCAGAACAAGAGGACTTAAAGATGAAAAGTAGATGGTTACTCTGAGGTGCAAGGAAAAACTTTAAATCGACATACCCATCAATAATAAGGTGTTCATATGGCGCCTTCTTATCGCAGACAGGACAAACCCAGGTTGGCTTTTTCTCATTCATCTGAATATAAAGAGTTGCATCAAAACACTGCAGATGAGAACATGTAAGGGCCCGACATGGAATTGTCAGCCGCATTTTACCAAGCTTTAAAAGAGGGAGACAGAAGTAAATATAAGTTTTGGTAAAAATTTCCCAAAAGACAATATAATAAGTATTCTGATTTAAAGCATATCATGTTTACCTCTCATTACTATGGAAGAACACTAAACACATTTTAGGTGAAACATTTACAGGTTAAAAAATTACAGTATTTCTTTGGATATTAAATCAGTAACTATGGAAAGTCTTCTTTACTCTCAGTCCACAGCTCACCGATCAGCTTTTAGCAGACAGGACTGTGAATCTCTTGAAATTATATGCAAAATCTTTTAAGTGTGTGCATTTTCCTGGAGAGCATGTTTTCAGCAAATTTTTAGAGTAATCCCTGATCCAAAAAAGTTAACAACCACTTTACTGGGGATTGGGAAAGGAAGAAGGAATGCCTTATTAGATACTGCAAGATACAGATAACAATGACATTGATTATCAACCTGATCTCTGAACAAAAGTAATTCACAGGTCAAAATGGAATGAGCACTCCCCACAATGTTTGGCCTAACATGCCAAAAGGCAGCTTTGAGAAGAAAGCCAGGCATGTGTGCTCTCTATTTCTTCCCTCCCTGTGCACCACCATGGGCAATTCAGCAAACACCTCTGGACTCCTAGCATCTCTAGCATGATAGGAGACTTTCTCTTCTTGCCCTGCGAATGGTGCTTTAAGCTGACATAGGTTGAATCTGTCCTACAAACACCAAAATCGGCTTCGTCTGGTCCCTGAACTGCCAGCTTTAGCTCAAAGCAGACAAGCTGTCTATAGAGACCTGCCCAGGGAGCTACCACATCTGGACCTCCTTCCTTGGAGGGCGCCTCGTACAGTGCAGCTGGATAACCACAGTGGAGGCCCCAGGGCGTACAGTGGCCGTGCTGCACAGAAGTTATCTACGTTCACTAACCACATTATTTGCTAAATATCAGGAAAACACCTCCCACATATTTGCAAGCTTAAAAAATGCAAAGGCTTGAAAAGGATATGAGTTAAATGAGGAAAAAAAGAGGAAAAGTTTCTTGCCTTAGAAGAATTTCAGGGAAATGTGCAACTTCCTAGACTACTGCGGAAATGAACTGTCATTTGGGGGCCTAAATTATTGTTCTGGCACCAATGATTTACTGTAACTCTAGGAAAGGCACTTAACCTTGCTGGGCCTCTTTTTCTATCTCTGAAGTAACACTGTTTCCTCCTTAATGCAATAGGATGTAGTGATGAAGAATAAAAAGGACATAAACCCAGAATGTGCTATCAATTTCTGAGAAGGGAGAAAAGCCAGTTACAGTATCAGAAGTATGGACAGGAGGAGTGCACAGAAAAACTGAGAGCTCCCTTCTCTGGCCCCCCAACTCTACCCTCCATGTGACTACACTACCCCCCACGATTAATTACAGTACAGAATTACTTGCTTCAAATCACTCTGTAAGCTAGCAGGAGACCCACTCAAACCGCAGCTCACTCAGTCTTCTATTCTGTGCTCACACAGTGTTAAACAACTTCATTACTCCCTTCCTACACTTCATTTTTTTCTTTTTTGGTTTTGTTGGGGGAGGTAGTTGGGTTGGTTTGTTTGTTTGTTTAGAGGAGGTACTGGGGATTGAACCCGGGAACTTGTGTATGCTAAGCATGCACTTTACCGCTTGAGCTACACCCTACCCCCATACTTCAATTTTTATGATTTGATTTATCTAAGTACCTGATGAGAATACACACACACACACACACACATAGAACTAGCTCTTATAAAAGAAAAACCATCTATTTACCATTAGCCAGGACATGCTACATTAGCCTAGAAACATTTTCCAAATAACGATCTAGTTGGTGGTGCCAAATTGAACTTTTATGTCTTAAGTCAGACCCTAACTTACCTCTGAAGTGCAAATTCCTAGAAGTCATAGAATAGAAATCCTAGGCACACACAGTAATCACAGACAAGCTCCATGTAACTACAGAACTAGCAGGCTACTCATGACAGTTTATGAAGACAATGGATAAAAAGATAAGAAATAAAGACTGTTGCAGAATCCAAGCCATAGGCCGTACAATTGTATACTCTGAAAAGTAGTTATTCTCCAAAGACCATCCTCTCACATATTTTCAGTCCTATAATCCCCAAGCTGTCGGTTCATCTTTTTGGTGGACAGCAACTCTCAAACCCTTAATGATCAGCCACACTGACAAGTTCACCTACAGAGTTTTTAAGGAACACTGCTGCATGAGTGGCACAGGAAGGATGTGTACAGATAAGGTATAGGAAAGGGCAAGCACAATTCAGAATGCACTGTTTATCAGCTGTCACACAAACGCCTTGCTTCAAAGAATCACAAGGTAATTGTTCTGTGATAATCCTCATATGCCTGATTTTTCAAAATAATCACTGAATTCTAAATACTTATCCACAAGTGGACACTGATTTCTCTAACTGGGTATCAGGAGAGAAGCTTAGCTCTGAACATCTTCATCTTGTAATTACTAATTCCCCTTTCCCTTTATAGGATGGGGTGGATATTTGCATCATTTGCAAATAAACACCGAAAACAATTCCCAAGTAAGTTTTCTAATGGGACGAATCTTACTATAACATAATCGTAACTGATAATACGGCAAAAGGGAAAATATCCGAATTAGATTTAAGTTCAAACCAGCTTATATCAAAAGGACCTTACAAACATCAATAATGTCATGTACTTTTTCCTTGTAAAGAGAAAGCAATGGTGTGATATTAAGAATTCCACAAATTTTTTTATTACTATCACCATCATCATCATAAATATTTCATGAATAAATTTCCACAGAGTGTGTTTTTTTTTCCTTCTATTAACTCTAAGTGATTTGTATTTGAGTTTACAGGTCTGGGGAGTATCTCACAAGGCAGGTTCTCAAATGTTCTTCCAGCTCTATTTTTAATAAATCAGAACTCAAAAATTCCCAGAGAGCAAAAACATTTTTAATTATTTCCATTGCCTTTAGCTAAATGGCACGCAAACAACAGAAACTCATTTATTTTGAGCTGTGTATATCATAACAAGGGCAATTCAAATGCACAGTCAGACATCATATTTACATATTTCAAAGGGAACAAATCTTTTTTATTATTCTATAAATTTGATATATAGATGAGTTGTCATTACTAAGTTTTACTTTTTAGAGTAAAAACATACCTAAAATATATTGCCTTGCTGTTCCAGAATAATCGTAAAAGGACTGTCCCTTTGGTCAAATAGAAATTCATAGAAGAATTATAATTATGGATTATATATATAGAGGTTTTTCCTATAATCTGAATTTTGAAAGCATAAGTCAATTTAAAAGGAACTCCTAAAACTATTTAAACTAAAAAGGGAGGCGCAGGGGGTTATGGAAAGAAAAATTAAAGCTTGCCCATTAAATTAACAGATGCAAGGAGCAAAACGTGATTAACATCTTCTAATAACATAAAGATCACCTCAACTATGAAATTCAAAACTAGTTCTATAAATAAGAACATCAAGATTTATATTGTAGTGCTTATTTATATGAATAAATGCTTCATCTAAATGTTAAATGATATAAACACCATATTTATTAGTATAACTGTAAACACTTTTAAAATGAGATTTCAGAAAAACAAGACTCCTGCCAGTGATTTAAACGGAAAATGAAGCATATGCACTTTCCTAAATTTCTCATATTCTCTGGACTGGTGTTTTATAATGGAATGAGGTGGCAAGCAGTCATGTTGAGGGGGAGGGTGGATAAATCGGCGTTTGGAGGAAAGGAAGGTATGAAAAGTATATACCTTTAAAAAACATACATGTCATTTTCCCACCCTCCACTAACCTGGTCTATAAACCATTTTTCTAAATGTTAAAAAATACCACAGTCCTTTATACCATAGTCAGTTATAACATCTATCTGATTACTTAAGAATACACCCCTTGTCCACCCAGCCAATATTTTTTATTGTGGTTAAAAAAAAATTAACATTAAGTTTACCACCTTAACCATCTTAAAGTGTGCAATTCAGTAATGCTACATATTTTCGTGTTGTGTAACAGGCAGCTACAACTTCATCCAGCAGCACTGAACCTCTGTACCCACTAATCTGCCCTCCCCCTAGCCCTTGGTAACCACCTTTCAACTTTGTTTCTATGATTTTGACTACTTTAGGTATTTCAGGAGTGGAATCGTCCAGTACTTATGCTTCTGTGACTGGTTTATCTTGCTTATTGTAATGTTCTCAAGGTTCAACCATACGTAGCACAGGACAGGATTGCTTCCTTTTTTAATGTTGTATACACAATATCCTACTGTGTGTATATACACAGTTTATTTGTTCATCTCTTGATGGACATATGGGATGCTTCTACCCCTTGGCTGTTGTGAATAATGTCGTGATAAACGTGGGTGTGCAAATTATCTCTTTGAGATCTTGCTTTGAATTCTTTTGGATATTCACCCAGAGGAAGTGCTGGATGACACGGCAATTCTATTTTTAAATTTTTGTGGAAACTCCATACTGTTTTCCATAATGGCTGCAGCATTTTACATTCCCACCGACAGTACACAAGGGTTCCAGTGTCTCTGGCATCCTTGTCAACTCTTATTATCCCCTGTTTTATTGACAAGGGCCATCCTGAAGAGTGTGAAGTTTATCTTATGTAATTTTGACATGCATTTCCTTAATGATTAGTGATGATGAACATCTTTTCATGTGCTTGTCAGCCATCTGTGTAACTTCTTGGGAGAAAAGTCTATTCAAGTCCTTTGCCTACTTTTAACCAGCTTGTTTTTTGTTGTTGTTGTTGGGCTGTAAAAGTTCCTTCTCAGGTATAAAATTCACAGTTATTTTCTCCCATTCCACAGGCTATCTTTTCACCCTGTTAACTGTTGCCTTTGACATGCACAAGTTTTAAGTCTGGTGTAGTCCCATGGGTCTATTTTTGCTTTCGTTGCCTATGCTTTTGGTGTCATGGCCAAGAAGTCACTGCCAAATTCAACGGAACCTTTTCCCCTATTTTTTTCTTCTAGGAATATAACAATTTAAGGTCTCATGGTTTAGATTTTTAATCCATTTTGAGTTAATTTTTGCACATACTGCAAAGTAGGGGTCCAGCTTCATTATTTTGGACGTGAATATCCAGCTTTCCCAATGCCACCTGTTTAAAGAGACCCTCTATGTAGTCTTGTTATGTCTGTGTATGGTTTGGGGATCAATAATGCTAGCTTCACAGAATGGGTTTGGGAATATTCTTTCTTCGATTCTTTGGAAGAGTTAGAAAAGGACTGGTGTTAATTCTTCTTTAAATGTTTGGGAGGATTCTCCAGTGAAGCCGTAGGGTCCTGGGTTTTTCTTTATTGGGAGGTTTTCATTGCTGCTTCAGTCTCCTCACTACTTGTAAGTTTGTTCAGATTTCTTATTTCTTCATGATTCAGTCTTGGTAGGTTGTAAGTTTCTAGGAATTTATCCACTGCTTTTTTTTTCTTTTAATAGACTTTATTTTTTTTAGAGCAGTTTCAGGTTTACAGTAGAACTGAGCAGAAAATAGAGCGTTCCCACAAAGCCCTCCCCACCCACACATATACACTCCCCTACCCTCAACATCCCTCATCAGTGTGGCATATTTGGTACAATCGATGAACCAACATGGACACATTATTATTATCAACCAAAGTCCAGAGTTTACATTAGGGTTCACTTGTAACGTTGTACATTCTATGGGCTTTGACAAATGCATAATGACATGTAGCCACTATAGTATCATACAGAATAATTTCACTGCCCTAAAAAATCCCCTGTGCTCCATCTATTCATCTCTCCCTCCTAGGAATTTATCCATTTCTTCTTTGCCAATGTTCTGGCACAGCAGTCTCTTATAATCCTTTTTATTTCTGTGACATCAGTTATAATGTCTCCTCTTTCATTTCTAATTTTAGCTATTTGAGTCTTCCCGCTTTTTTCCTTAGTTTAGCTAAGGGTTTGTCAATTCTGCTAATCTTTAAAAAAAAAAAAAACAACCAACCCCTGATTTCCTGATTTTTTCAGTCTGTTTTTCTATTCTCTATTTCATTTATCTCTGCTCTAATCTTCAATTATTTCCTTCCTTCTGCTGACCTCGGGTTTAGTTTGTTTTTCTTTTTCTAGTTGCTTGAGGTATAAGGTTAGGTTGCTGATTTGAGACCTTTTTCCTTTTTTAATGTAAGCATTTACCGCTATAAACTTCCCTCTTCCTACTGCTTCTGTTGCATCCCTTAAGTTTTGGTATATTGTGTTTTCACTTAATTTGTCTTCAGATATTTTCTAAATTCCTTTGTGATTTCTTCTTTGACCCACTGGTTGTTTAAGAATGCACTGTTTAATTTCCTCCTACTTATGGATTTTCCTTTCTATCTCCGGTTACTGATTTCTAGTTTCATCCCACTGTGGTTAGAGAAGATATTTAATATGATTTTAATCTTAAATTTGCTAGGACTTGTTTGTAGCCTACCATGTTCTGTATCTTAGAAAATGTGCTGTGTGCACTTGAGAGGAATGTGTAATCTGCTTTGCTGGGTGCAGTACTCGGCATGTGTCTGTTAGGTCCAATTGGTATATAGTGTTGTTTAAGTCCTTTGCTTCCTTATTGTCCTTCTGTCTGGCTGTTCTATCTATAACCAAAAGTGAGGTATTGAAGTCTCCTACTATTACTGTGTTACTGTCTATTACTCCCTTCAGTTCTGTCAATCATTGCATCACGTATTTAGGAAAGAATTTACACATTTTAAACCATAATATAAAAAGCCTGGAGTCAAAATATTTTCCCTAAAAAAATGACTGGCTATAGTAAGGAATAAAAAGATAGAAGGATATATACAAAATGATACATTTGTTGGTTTTTATTAACTTCACTGTATTTTTTCCTATGATTTATAGAAACTTAATAATGAACAGGAGTTCCATTATCAATGGTAAAACAAAATTTAAAAAAAGCTACACAAAATACTGTATTATAAATTGATTCATCAGCTGATAACTTTTTCATACTGTGTTTGAGGTTTGATAAACTATAAAGACTAAGATACAGAACAAATAACATTTTCTGTTAAAAATTTTTGTTTCTTTAAGAATAAATAGAGAGAATAGCTCAAAGTGGTAGAGCGCATGCTCAGCATGCACAAGGTCCTGGGGTCAATTCCCAGTACTTCCTCTATAAATAAACAAATAAACCTAATTACCTCCCCCCCTGCCAAAAGAATAACTTCAGCTTCATTTTAGATTAGTAGGATTTCCAATATTAAAAGCTTTCAATATCAGTCTTGCCTTAACAATCCCAGCAAATTAGGAAACAGCTATGTCCTCTTATTTTTCATACTTTCTCCCCAGTTTAGATATGATTCGTTTGATTAATTATAGAACAAACGGTAATCAAAATGTCAAAGTAATTTACTCTTAGTTTTTCATATATTTTTATATGAAAGCATCATTCAACTACCATTCCTAGTACTGATGGACCTAACATCAAACCAGTTGTGGGGGAGGGTATAGCTCAGTGGTAGATGAGCTTAGCATGTATGAAGTCCTGGGTTCAATCCCTGGCACCTCTATTAACAAACAAACAAGTAAATTAGAATGAATAAATAAATCTAATGACCTCCCTCAAGAAAAAAAAAAAAAGATTAAAACCAAAACAACAACAAAATCCCCCCAAAAAAACAGGTAAAAAATAAACCTTAACAACACATTTTTTGGAAACTTTTTCACTCAAAGTTTAACCATTTGGTATATTAATTTCGTAGAAATGATTGAAATTGATCTCATTTTCTGGTTTAAAAATATTTCTAGTTTATTTTTATACGCATAACCAATTCAATTACTCAGGCTAAAGAGAATAGTTTTTAATTGGTGTATTCTTATAACATAGTCATTGTTGGCAAAATGGTTAAGTTGAATGTGTGAATAATCATGGCCAGATTTTTATTTAGAAGTATACTATTTTAAAAAATGAAATTATAATAAATACCCTGATATAATAAATATGCCTTATTTGGAGATTTTACACTTTAAGTCTAAGAGACAGTCAGTTAGTAACTACAAGCAATATTTAAATATAACTTATTAAGAGAAGAAAAATTTTATAGACATACGTTTGTTTAGATTTCAAATCCTAAGACTAAATAACAATGTCTTTTACTTTTCATAAACTGTAACCAAAAACGGGCATGTTTCAAAGTTAACAGAATTTCTCAAACAGTGGAAATACTTAATAAAAAAAAAAGGCACACCAAGCCTTCTGGAGAGCAAGTATTAGTTAACACTTACTGGACACAGAAGAGAAACCCTCAGGCTGGTTGTAGCTATTTCACTGTCTGGATCCGCGGTCAATTTCTCTTTAACTGACATTCATCGAAGAGAAAAACAAATAGAAGAAGTTTATTACAGATATATCACTGATGCAATATAAGAAAAAGAATGGGAAACTTAAAATGAGGAACTTTTAAAAAAAGGAACTCAAAAATAATCTGCTCAATTATTTTCCAATTAATTGAATTAAAAGATAAAAACAGTGATATGGTTTACAATCTCTGCCATAAGCAAAGGAAGGAAAACAATTGTACATCTACAGACTGACTACATTTCCTCTAAGTTCCCTATTTTTCACCCACAAAATAAAAACTGCATTGCAGTAACAGAAAAAATTTCTATGGCAGGTTGACGTATGCAAGTGATGGCAGACCCTTGTTCTTTTGTAACTCTAAGATACACGGTAAAGATTTTCTTTCTTTTAAATATGACTAATATTATTTTAAAAGGAACTAATAAAAAAGAACTATAAAACTAGTATGTTTAAGTTTTTTCAAAGCTCAGATAAACAAAACATTTATTGTTAACACGTTAATTCTAATTTCAAACTATAAGAAGAAAAAAGTTCAACTGCCTTTTTGCCATATGATTATTTGAGTTTACATTTATTTATCCATAAACTAGTTAATTATGCTACCTTGGGCAAGTTAAGCCTCTCTGAGTTCAATTTTACTTCCAGAAAAATAACAACCCACAAATAGGTAACCTCCAAGTCTTCTCAGTTCAAATTTCCTATGGTTCTTGAGAGAGGTAATTGGTACCTCTCTTAAGTACCTGGTAAATTGATAATTTTACCTTTAAAGCTATTCGATTACTCTCGGTCAGTCTAATGTAACAATGACCTTTATACTTCTCATCTGAAAGCCTGAGGTATCTGTTACGTCTGAAAACCCTGAAACTTTAATTAAACTTCAACATAGAAATGAGGTTGGAAATGCTTAAATACTTCAATAATTTCAGAAACTGTAAGGAGGCCCACATAGTTGTGCACATAGGCAATCACAGAATTCCAGAGCTGAGGCATAACTAAGTGTGACCAGATAGTTATAGACAGACAGATAGGAGAAAATGGGGAAGGGAAAAGTACTTGGCTAAGGAAGAATGATTTCAGAGTAGATGTTTGTTGCACTAATAACCATTTATCAGAATTAAGAATCCTGCCTTTATTAAACATGATGATCAGACAGTCAGGATTTTTTTTTGAGATGGTCCAAATTTTAGATATTCTATCCAGTTGTCTCCATAAATTAGCGGACCTCAACTAAGATGCACATCAGAACCACCACAGAGCTTTCTAATTTATAACTGCACACTGAATCAGAATGGAGAAGAGGGACACTAATGGGTAGTTTTTAAAAAGCCCTAGATGCGATTCTGACGACAGACTAAAAAGTCTATTTATTCATAGCCTAAAAACTCCAGAATTTTAAAGTCTACATAGAGGCTGTTTATCATATCTAAAAAGGCATACAGGGTTTTAGTTTGGAAAATACAGTTATCACATCACTTATGTTAATTAATACTGTATGTAAATCATGAAAAGTATGCCTTTGCCATTATAGACACAATCTTAGTCACTCCTTTCTTATGAAGATACATATAACGAAGAGTATCTTTTTAAAGGTAACAAATAATTGCCATACAAAACAAGCACGAAGGTATAATTCTAATGTGATTACTAACCATTCTGCATGTCTTCATCAACCACCCTTCTAACACCCACCATACACACAGCAATGGGAAAAGTAACTGACTCTAGGTTTTGTCTACTTAAACTTCCATTTAAATGAAGCAATTCCATAGATCATAATATGAGCTTCATGGAAAACAAAGTTCAGTGTTAGTATTCTGAAAAGAAACTGAAACAGGAAAGGCAACCTGAGGTAGTGGTTCAGAATATAGGATCTAGAGCCTGTCTAGGTTAGAATTCAGACTTAGTCACTTAACATTTCTGTGCCTCAGTTTCATCATCTTGTAAATGGGTACAATAAGTGAACCTCAAAATAGCATTGTTTTAAGGAGCAAATGAAGTTAATACAAATAAAATGCTTTAAAATAACCTAACATTATACTCAAAAACTGTTAGTTACTGTGACTTAAAATGTGACTTGTATGTTCACTTTCTTTCAGAGATGAAGTTTGTGAAATTATTTTAGAATCAGCTTGTCAATTTCTATTTAAAGAGCTTTGCCTTTTACCTTTGCCATCACAGACTCCATCTTAGGCAATACTTTTAATACATCACGATCTTGATGGATTGAATTCAATCTATAGATCAATCACAATGAGTATTCTGATCCATTAACATGATATATCTCTCCATTATTCAGGGCTTATTTTAATTCCTCTCATCAATGTTTTATAGTTTTCAGCATACAAATCTTGCACATATTTTGTGTAATATAGCCGTAAGTATTTCATGCTTTTGGATGTTATAGTAAATTCTTATTTTTTGAATTTCAATCTCCAATTGTTTACAGCTAGTAGAAATACAATTTTTACAAAGTGACCTTGTATTCTGCAACCTTGTTAAATTCACATATTAGCTCTAGTAGCTTTTTGGGGGGTTTTCCTACACAGTGAGGTCATCTTCAAATAAAGACAATAATTATTTATTCATTTCTAATGCATATGCTTCTTTTTTTTCTCTTGCATACTGTGCTGGCCAGGACCTCAAGGGCAATGCTGAATAGAGGTATTAAGAGCAGATATTCTTGCCTTATTCCCGATCTTAGGGGTGAAGCATTTAAGTTTTTCACCATTAACTATGATATTAGCTAAAGGCTTTTTGTAAATACCCTTTACTACATTGAAGTAGTTCCCTTCTCTTTATTTTGCTGAGTTTTATCATGAATGGATATTGAATTTGACCAAATGCTTTTTTTTGCGTCTATGGAGATGGTCTGATGATTTTTTCTTTTTTAGTTTGCTGACGTGAATTGTATTGATTGATATTTGAATGTTGTATCAACCTGATATTCCTGGAATAAACCTTAGTTGATCACTATGTATTATCTTTTTATATATTGTACTTAAAATTGTTTGACTTAGTCAAAACAATTCTGAAGAAGAAAAAGTTGGAGAACTACTTAATTTCAAGAATTACTATCAAGTTTTAGTAATTAAGACTGTTATTTGCATAAGGATAGATAAATAGGTCAATGGAAAATAATGGGGACCAGAAATAAATTCATATATCTGTGGTCAATTGGTTTTTGACACAGGTTCTAACATAATTGAATGGAGGAAAAATTAGTATTTTTGACAAACATTATGGAACAACTTGGTATCTATGGGGGGGGGTTGGGTGGGGAGAAGGTGGACATCTAACCTTACCTTGAGTCATATAAAAAATTAAATTGTAGGCCTAAATTGAACAGCTAAAAAAATAAAACTTCTAAAAGAAAAACAGAAGAAAACTATTTGTGACCTTGGGTTAGGCAAAGATTTCATGGCATACAAAAAGCACAGACTATAAAAGAAATGGGGGAAAGATGTGAATAGACATTTCATCAAAGAAGCCGTAAGGATGGCAGGAAGCACAGGAAAAGATGCTTAACACCATCAGTCATTAGAAAAACACCAACTAAAACCACAACTACATGTCACTACACAGTGACCAGAAGAGCTAAAATCACAGCAGTCTGATAATACCAAGCACTAGTGAGGGTGGGGACAACTCAAAACCTCATACGTTGTTGGTGGGAATACAAAATGGAATAGGCACTTAATAAGAGACTGCTAGTCTGTTTCCAAACATTTATCATGTAACCCAGCAATCCCAGTCCTAAATATTTACCCAAGAGAAATGAAAACGTATGTCCACAAAACTGCGGTATCTATATGCAAAACGCAAATGTGTCAGCAGCTTTACTCATGACAATGCAAAACTAGAAGCAATCTAAATGCCCATAAACTGATAAGTGGATGAACAAATTACAGTACATATAAATGGAACACTACTCAGTAATGAAGATGATCCAACTACATGGATGCACCTAAAAGCAGTATGCTATGGGAGAGAAGCCGGGAACGAAAGGCTACCTGCTGTGGGATCGCAAGCGCCTGATGTTCTGGAAAAGGCAGAACTACAGAGACAGAAACCACACCAATGGTTACAGGAATGGGGGTAAGGGGACAAGCTGGACTAAAAGGGCCACAGGGGAACTTTCTGGAGTGAAGAATGTTATACATTTTAACTGCGGCATGTGGTTAATGACTGTATATGCCTGTCAAACTCACCAAACTGTACACTTAAAAAGGTGAATTTTTACTGCTTGTAAACTATACTTCAATAAACATAACCAAAATAAAGGAAGAAAGATAGACAGGGGGTAGAAATCACTATGTTAAATTTCACAAGAAAGTATGGAGGAAAAACAAAGTAAGTAAAGTACTTATCCTTTGTGGGCAAGGGAGTGAAAAATAAAAACCAGAGTTAGTATTCACCCTGCTCCGTCAACCACCATGTGGTAAGTCTTCTCGTGTCACTGTGAGCTGCAGCGATTACAGTATTGCACTATGACCTTTAATAAAGTTAAAGTTAGTCACATTTAAAATTAATCTTTTTTAATCCCTACTGTCATGTGCTGTGAGAGGTAGCCACTAGTCCTAAGTGGCTATATTTAAATTTAATGAAATTTAAAATTCAGGTCCTCGTTTGCACTACCACATTTCAAATGCTCAACAGACACAGTTTGCTGGTGGCTACCACATGGGACAGTGCAGATACAGAACATTTCCATCATCACAGATTGTTCTATTAGACAGTGCCATTCTAGGTTTTTTAAAAAATAATTTCTATCTTAAAAAATTTTAAGGCTGGGAAATAACTGAATACATTAAATCCAATACTTCATTTTATAAGCAAGAAAACAGAGGCACAGAGATCCGATCTTTAACTCAAGATCTCTCTCTCTTTTTTTTTTTTTGCAAGGGGGAGGTAATTAGGTTTATTCATTTATTTTAGTTTTTTTTCAATGGAGGTACTGGGGATTGAACCCAGGACCTTGTGCATGCTCAGCATGCGCTCTACCACTTGAGCTGTACCCTCTTCTCTCCAAGACCTCTTTTCATCAGTTTACTTAACAAAAGTCTGAGGATCTACTATGTGCCAGGCACTGTGCTAATAAGCACTAGGAATTCAAAGAAAGGTAAGATTAAATTCCTGCCCAAAGGAACTCAGTCTAGTAGAGAGCAGACACTTGGTGACATCATCTTGAATGTACTCTGACAGAAACTAGCTGGAAGTCAACGCTGCTACTCTTGGGGGTTCTGGAGGTGCCTCCTGGAAAAAGTGAAACATGAAGGGTAACTAGAGTTAGACAGAGAGGCACCAGAGAAGTTCTGAGGCACAGAGAACAATACTGGTTAATACTTGCAAAGCAGTGAGAAGAGGAAAAAAAACCTCATTATCTTTGGGATATAAAGAATGAGAAGAAGAGTGAATGCAGATGACACAAGAAAGTACTAAGCAGGTGCTACATCATGGAAAGCTGTACACAGATGTCATGCTAACAAAGCTGGGGTTTTCACTCCATAGGTGTTAGGAAGCCATGGATTTGCAAAGGAACAGTAAGATCAGATCTGTATTAATCACTCAGACTGCTGCCAGAAGGGAGGTATGAAGAGGTGAGCCAAGAAAGGAGAGGAATGTATTATTTAAGAATAGGTTTTAAAAATAAAGGCAAGAAACGAGAGCTAAATGAGGGCAAAGACGGTAGGGAGAGAGAGAACTCTCAACAGATTTGAGAAATATTTCGAGTGTATGTCTGACAGAACTTGCTGAGTTCAGTTTTAACTACTTGAATTTGAAGAACCAGTGGCACGTTTTGGTGAAGACAGCTATGTGTATCTACACGCGAAATTCAGGGGAAGGTCCGGGATGAAAATATGTATTTGAGAGTTGGTGCTAATTCTTTTCAAAAAAAATTTGAGTTGGTGCTAATTTAAACCACAAGAGTGAATGTGATTATCTCTAGAGAAAGGATGCAGAGAAGTGGACCAAAGATGAAAACCCATGGGAAAACATTTAGGATGTTTCTCTTAAGAGAATTCACTGAAGGCAAGTGATTGAGAAGACACAGAGGAAGAGAATTTCAAGGAGAAAGTTTCTGGTATGAAACGCAGCAAAAATATTTAAGATGAAAGCTGAAAAGACAAAGTTTAAATCTGGCAGACTGTCACTTGTGACATAGGCAAGAGTAGTTTCAGTGGAATGATGGGAGTTAAAAGTTCAATGGGTTTCAGCGATGAGGTAGAAAGGGACGTGCAGACTGCTCTTTGAAGAAACCAGGATGAGGACAATAGGAGGAACACAGAGCTCTATCTAGAGAGCAGGTTGTTTTTGTGTATTTTTTAAAGGATGAAAAAGGCTTGACAAGCAAGATCGACAGAAAGAGCCTGTAGAGTGGAAGGAACTGAAAACAGTAACTGCGTCTGAGCATCTCTACCGGGATGCCTCACAGACCTCTCACATACTGAAAGGCCAAGAGCGCACTCTGATCTTGCAACGTAATCTTTACAGCACTGCTCTCCACTTCGGCAAATGGCCCTGATAGGCAACCCAGTGCTTAAGCAAGAAGCCTAGAACTCCTCCTTCACTTCTTTTTCTTCACTCCCCACATGTAATCCATCACCACTTTCTCTCTTCAACAACTTCTCAAACCATCGACTTCGGCTTCCATCATCGTTACTGTTGCACGAGACATACTCATCTCGTATCTGTACAGCAGGTTCCTAACTGGTCGCATTTTATCAGCCTAGCTCCCCTTCAATTCTGTCTTTTAAGTGATCTTTTTATTGCCCACATGTGATCATACCACTCTGTTTAAAAATCCTTTACAGGTTTTCTACCATCTGTCTTTATATGACCCATATGAACTCACCCCATGGCTCTCTCTCTCTCACCACTTTCCTCCTCTGTTCTCTCCACTCTAACTCCACTGGCCTTGTTTCTTGGCGTATCTCCTCCCATGTTGGGGCTTAACTCTGTCTCATCCTTATAGTCTTGTCTCAAACATCACAACACCAGAGGACTATGTTCTCCTGATGTTACCTCCAGAGTTCCCTGTCTTTCTTCTTTAAGACACATGTCACAACCGTAATTCACTAATGACTTGTGCAATCATTTAATTCTGTCTTTCCCACCAGACTACAACCTTCTGATGGATGCAGACACATTGTGTGTTTTGTTTCATGCTATATTCTCCTGTGCCTGGAACACAGTAGACTCTTAGTACAATCTTTTGAATGAGAAGAATAAATCAATGAAAGATTAACTTTGGCCAAAAAAGGGGACACCTCCTCCTGAGATTGAAGAGAGTAAGTAAGTACGTTGGGTACAAATGAAGGTTAAGTTGAAAACTGGTTATGGTGACATTAAGACTGAGGAAGAAATGGGCAGTTTAGAGAATTCACATCTTGTAGCCTCAATTGTCTTGTCCTGGCAGTGTGTTGAAAGAGAGGGGACACTGTTTGAGTAAAGTAAGGCCAAGGTTTAAAGTGACTGCGGAAGGGAAGAGGGTAAGGAGGTAGGAACTTGACCAACAGTTAGTAAAGGACTGTTTTGTGATAGTTGTGAGAGGCCAACTCTGCACAAATATGGAAAAAACAATACAAAAATCTACTAAATCAAATGAATCAGAGAATGAATTTCTCTGAGAAAAGTATAAATACTATCGACTTTCATATCAAGAACAGTGCCTGTTTTAGTTAATAAAATGCTGCCAGAAGAATCTATTGATAAGACTAAGAATGACTCACAATGAACAAATTTGTAGATGATTTGACTCTTTAAAAATATCTGAGGAACCCGCCAACATTTTCTTCTGTCAAGTTGTTTCACACCGTCTTACAATTAATTACAAAATTAATTTGTTGGAAAAGTTTTCTTTAGAGATAACATAAAGGCAGAAAATGTGTTCTTTAGTCAATGACAACAAATGTTTTACTGGTAGTAGGATCCAAACTGATGTTTTTGTCGGTACCCCAGGCCAGTAAGGAAGGTAAGGCATACAGTGCTGCAAACATCCTCAGTCTCCACTACTCTCCACCTCCAGCGCTGTATTAGAGATGAAATCAACAGCCTGCGAATGAAGCCGCTTCTGCTGCTTCACAGTGGCTAACAGCGGTTCCTTCCATAAAACAAAATACCTCTAGGCTCACCAGCCCACTGTCCCTCCAGATGGTGCTGCGGCTACCAGTGGGGAAGAGTTCATAGCTTGAGCCAAGACAGTGTGCCTCCTTCTTCTTCTTCTGATGATGATGATGATTAAATATAACATGGTGCTTCCACTACCCCGGACCCCAAACCAGTGCTGCCATTCCAGTGATCCACTGTCAAGGAACGCCTACCCAGGCATTAGCTGCCAGTGTGCCCCTCTTGACTCAGAATATTTGCATTTTTAAAAGGGTTCTTTTAATACAGAAACCCCTTCAATGAACTCTTGAGGGTATACTGATATTCAGAGGTAGTGGAATCTTCTACTTTGGCATAGAAGTAGTTTAGGAAAAAAAGATAAAAGCTATGCCACAAAGGCAAGTGAGACAAAAGATGGCCTGAACTACTTTAGTTGCATGCTCCTGACTATAAACCTGATGGTGGGCTTCGTTAATCAATTCAAATCAAGAATCCTTCAAGGGTAGCTATCTAACCCCAGTCTGTAGAAGCTTTGTTCCCCAAGTGCCCAGCCCCATTCTCAAATCCATCCATGAACAATCTCTCTCTCACAAAGAAGAGAATAAAGGAAGAACTTAGTTTACTTCCTTGGAAAGGCTGCCAACCTCTGGCCTTAACCCTCAAACACTGGGATGAGAACACTCAACTTGCACCTTCCTCTACCTCAAATTCAACACAAGAAAATGAACCATCTAGTTATTCATACCTAAGAACCTAGACTTGGCAGGGGCATTAGAGTTCATGTGGTATAAATCTCTTGTTACAGATGAGGAATATGAGAGTCTGAGGAGTAGAGTGACTTGTCCGAGGCCACATATTTAATTAAAAGCAGAACCTACTTGACTATTATATCTACCACCCCGCTGACTCTGTTTGTACTTTGGTTTGCAAGGATGTTATCATCACATATCCTTGGACTTTTTTCCTGGATAATATAAAATAATTCTTGTGAGATATAGGCAAGACTTCCTTCCCATCTCCTAGAATTCCTGAACATTTATTTGTTTTATCAAGTTTTGGTAAAATATGCATCTGTATTCATGTACTGATTTTACCAAGTTAATTTTAAGATCAGTCAAATATAAAATAGAGGTCATGACAAAAATATTAAAACTATTCTTAAGTCTTGATTTACTCTGGCTCACAAAACACGGTCTTCAGTGTTTTAACCACTCTGACAAGCTCTAGTTAAAAACCAAACCCTGAAGTTTCTTGAGTTGAGAAAATACTACTCTAACCTTTACAGAAATAGTTCAACTGCATAAATAAAATAAGATTATCATACGTACTTAAAGCTCTAGAATGATCCGGATTCCTTATTCCCTTTGCTCGTAACCTCTGAAGCAGAACTGTTGAGGACAACTGTTTTACAAGATATACTGCCATGGAATAGTTCTGGAAAAAAGATGTAGAAAACAAACAACATATGTAAGTAAATAGGTACATCTATTTTAATCCCACAATGATAGGGAAAGAAAACGAATACCTGTTAAAACACCTACTGTGTGCCAAGCACTATCTTAGGTGTTTTCATGAACAGTGTTTCATTTAATCCTAACCTAAAAAGCTGCTGAGGTCATCCTACTTTTATGGATGAGGAAAGTGAACTGTAGAGAAGTAAAAGAACTTGCCCTAATTTCACAGCTTTTAAAGCCAGGTCTGCCATGCTTCTGTATTACCTGATTGCCTATGCTTGAAGCCAATCAATTTAAGTCACTTATATAAAAGAACATTGTTAAAACTAAACATAAACCAAGGCCAATAAGATGTCAAAGTCATCATATACTATATTTACAGGTATAATATGGTTTATTTATAGGTGATTGGTATATCTAAAATCGTAGCTATTTTAAAAATTACAAATTAGATTGGTATCCTAATTTATACCACTTAATCTCTCTCTATGCCTTTAACTAGTTCTTGGAAAGATCCTACTTGGCCCATTATCACTACAAGAAGAGAGAATTTTAAAGATTTTCAAAGAGAAGCTGCTGGATTGGCAAATGAACAGATGAATATCCACTACCAGAAGAGGGACTACCCAGAGATGGCAGGAGGAGAAAGGGGACAAAGGAGATAGGTAAGCCAATGCAAAGGAAAGGCACATGACTGGACAAGAGGAAGGAAAGAGGGCTGAGGCATACGCAAGGTAGGAAAGGTGTCCGGATAAGAAGGCCCACTTCCCATGTGGTGTTAGAATCAAGAGGAAGACCAAGAGGATTTGGAAAGAAGCAACAAGGAAGAATGATTACTGCCATCTTCTATTTATAGCTACAGTTTTCTAAGCGCTCTTACTGTATACTACCCACTTCATTTAAACCTCACAGAAGGCCTTTCAGAGATAGGCAGGGTTAAGTATTTTTCTAAGTGAAGGGTTGATGAAATGGAGACACACAAAATTTTTTAAATTTAAATCTTAAAAAATATATGTAATCTGCTCATGATCTTGCATCTGCTTGGTGACAAAGGTGGCACTAGAAACCAAGAAGAAAGAGTAGGGATGTCAAGACAATAGACTAATGGCCAAGGCCACAGTAGTGCTCTACAGTTCTTGATCTCATAGTTTGCCTTGATCCTCCTAACCTAGGCCAATTCCAACAAAATCCTACACTCCAACTTTCAGTTCATCTCACACCTTTGAAAATGTATTCTCCTTCTTTGGCAAGAAGAGAACATATCCTACAATACCCTCTAGATGGTCAGATTTTCATTTAGAGTTCAGAAACCTACTTGTGTTCACATGTTACACATTTTCCAGGGGAAAAAAATGAGGCCTCAAAAAAGCTAATCTACCTTCATTAATAAATTGTGAAATATATAATTAATTAATTATAAAATATATATTTTTATAATTGAGGAACAAGTAACCTTAAAACCTGCATAAATTTTAAAGCATACAACATACCAATTTAATATAAAACTTAAAAGCTTCTTTTAGGAAAAAATCTTTATTCACCTTTATTATTTATTTGATGAATGCTTCAAGTATGACAGAAACTGGAAAATGCTAATTAACACTCTGAAATTATGTACTGATAGCTTGAATCTTCAGAACTAGGAGTTACCCTAAGGCTTTATATAAATTTTTAAGGAGAGATCAAGTAGAAACCACAACTACAAGTTCAGTGAAAAGGTATGTTCACTCTAGTTGAAACATGTAACCAGATTAAGGGGGTGGGGAAGAGAAACAGCAGTAGAAGAAAAAGCAAAAAGAAGCTCAGGTGTTAGTCAGTTGCACTTGTACTGATAATATGGAATTAAATTTTATATCATATGAAAGAAATTCAGCAGCAACTCCCCCACCCCAAAACTTCACAGTGGTATAGGATCTCTTCTAGGGAGATGATATCACATTATTTCTGCCAACCCTTCAAAGTACTACCTAACTCCAACAATTGAAAGTTATTACATTACACTGATGTTTTTGTCTAACGCTTTTTTGAAAGTCTTCAAAATTGTTTATCAAGATCATAGGACAGTTTCTTCATTATTAAGATATGATCTACTCATTAACAGCCCTTTACACCAGTGTCTAAATAACTTCCCTATAAACAATGATGGTTTAATAAGTGCTAAATGCAGTGATTTCCCTGAGATAGGATAAGAAGTTACAACACAGTTCACTTTTTTCCTTCAAGCACTGTACTAGCTCTTTTTCTTTGAAATATTACAGTTTTAAAAATTGAGCTATAGTTGACATATAACATTGTGTAAATTCAAGGTGTACAATGTGTTGATTTCATAGTTATATACTGTAAGTTGGTTACCACCACTGCATTAGCTAACACTAGCTCTTCCATTTATTTCCTTTGAAGGCATAATGCTAACATTTCTCAGTGGCAACTAATAATAGAAATTAATCCCCAAAATAGCAAGGGATTACACATACTGTTCAGAGTATCTTCACAAGTTGAATTAAAACCAGTGATCAAAAAAAAATCTAATAAGTTATCTTCTGGGCTTTAGAAAAGAGTAATTTTCTCTCTAACTTTTACTTCAAAAAGAAGGTCTCCAACTTGTAGATCAGGGTCTCAACAGGCAGACCTTCAAATCATTGAAGATAATGTTTTCTTTCTGAGGTGTGGAAGGCTTCCCAGGGAAGAACAGCCCCCTCTCTCCTGTAGGACTATGTATCAGCAACCACATCTCCTTCTTCTCCCAGTTTCAGACTTCTTTCATAGCTCACTATAAACACCCTGGTGTCTACACACTTCCTTGGCAGGCTATACTCTTCATACAGACAAAAAAAACCAACCCCAAAACATTTGCAACACCCTCTTTCAAAAAGGGGGACAAAAAGGGAGAACCACAAGGTACATTCGAAGAAAACATTTTCAAAGGATTTTAAAAATTCAATAGTGGCATATTCATTAGGTAAAGGAAAAAAATATAACCATGATGTCAAAAAGGATTTTGTCCAAATTCAAAATCCATTTCTCTCAAAGATATCCAGTGAAAAAGACGCCATAGGAATACATTCTTGATGTAAGTAAGTTCTATCAAAAATTAACGGCCATTATAATACTTAACGTTATGGCACCAGCAGTATTCTCATTAACATAAGGAACAAGTCAAGTATGCCCACCAGCACTCGCATTATTTAACACTGTTCTGAAGGCTCTAGATAGCACAATAGGACAAGAATAAGAATTAGGATTATCATTATCTGTACGATACATGTATCAATGATACATCTCAAATTCAACACTGCCTATCTGGAAACACCAAGAAACCAACTAAAAAGCTATCGGAACCAACATAAATTTATGTGTGAAGTAAATATTCAACAATAACTAGCTTTTAAATAAACTAACAATAAATAATTTTTTAGAAAATATAATAGAAATAATATCTATTTACAATAGCAGTAATAATAATATACAACTCAGGAGTCAATAAAAATATGGAAGACGTATATGGAGAGACCTATTAAATTACTGAGGAACATGAAAGAGGATTTGAACAAATGGAGAAACATACAGTTCCTGGAATAAGGACATTAAGTAATTAAATAAATTGAAATAAATAGTAAATTTAATTAATTAATTTAAATAAACGAATCCTCCCTAAGTTAATATACACATTTAAAAGCAATCTCATTCACACTCTCAGAAAGATAATGCAGGGGAACCTGTCTTCCCTCCTGTAATTACTTTCCCAACACTTGCACTCTCCTCAAGGCCTCTATTTCTTTTCAAACTTTCAGCAGACTTACCCCACTTCCTATCTCCCAGACATAAAAGAAGTCATCAGATTAGCACTTACTCACCTCTCCAGCACCAATCACATGGACTCATCCAATCCTTTTATTCTTCTATTAAATAAGGTTGTCCCTCCTAGCTACAATGAGTTACTATGCAATTCACTATTATCTTCTCTTTCTCTCAAGATTTATTTATCTGCCATCATCCTTTAAACATGTTTAAGATTCTCATTAAAACCAATAACTTATATCTCACATTTCCCTCCAGCTCACCCTTCTCTCTTTCCAAAGTCACACTTTTATACTTAACTCCAGCCTCACCTCCACCTGGTCACAATCTGGCTTCTCCTCCCACCATTCACCAAAACAGCTCATGCTAAAGTCACCTTTATGCTTCTTATCCAAAAGGATTTTTTTTAGACTTCAACATACCTGACGTCTCAACGTCTGCTCAATGCTGCTTACGATCTGCTTCTTTCTTGGCACGTTTCCCTTGGCTTCTCATAGCCACTCTCCATTCTGCCCCACCTCTCTGGTCCTATTTCCCCATGTCCCCTGCAGGCTCACTCTCTTCTACCCAGCGTCAAATGTTACAGTTCCTCAAGAACACGTCTTCAACCCTCTCTTCTCCCTACTCGATAGTTTTCCCTTAAACAATGTCATCCTGCTTTTATGGCTCCAATAACCACCAATGTGCAGATGACTCACATTTTTTCCCTCTAGCCCAAACTTATCCTCTGAGCCTATCTGCCCCACTGCCTATTCGGAATGTCCCAAAGGCATCCCACACTTAAAAGCTCCAAAATTGAACTCATGATTGTCTCCCTGTAGTCCCATACTCCTTCCTTCAAAGCAAAACAAAACAAGACACACCTAAACTCTGTACTTTTTTAGTGTTTCCTCTATCAGTAATATTATCATTTACCTTGATACTCAAGCCAGAAACCAAGGAGGCATCCTTGACATCTCCTTTGTCTCAGCCCCTGCTTCTATCACTCAATCCTACAGAGCTACCTACTTGTCTCCATCCCCAACGGCATCACTCAGGGCTAATATGCTCTCTCACTAACACTTCAGCAACACCTTGCTTGTAAGAGGTAACCTCTCTGTGTGATTCTGGCCTGTGTTCAAATTGTTCAACACTCTGAAGAGTGGCCCTTTCTGAACAGAAACAGGGTCCTAAAAACTTCCTGCTTAAAGAGAGAATATTCTTAACATTAACAATGCCTCAAAGGCCCTGCACAGTTTGGCACCTTTCCACCTCCAGCCTCATCCTGCATCCTGCTCTCCAACATTCTCTGCGCTCTAACCACAGTTGCTTCCTTTCAGCTTCTTAAAAAGAACTAGACTCACCCCTGCCAGTGGGCTATTCTGAAGATTGCTTCCCCTGAACCATTCACCTAACTGATTGATTCCATTCTACCCTTCTCTCAGCTCTTAGCTCAGCCATTACTTCCTCAGGGAAGCCCTGCCTGCCCTTTCTCTAGTTCAAAGTGCCCTTTAATATAATCTAAAATCACACCTCTCTCCTAGATAGTACTTATAATAAAGTTCACAGTTTTGTGTGTGACTAGGTTCCTGGCCCCTGGATCCTAGGCTCCAAAAGAGTCAGAACTTCTTTTTCTTCTTATAGTACTGCCAGTTTTTAGTATAGTACATGAAATATAGTAAGTATTCTATAAATTTCAAACGAATTAGTGAACAGGCATGAGTTCATATCACAGAACTGTAATAATCAAAAACAGTCTGAAATTATGCCAGAAAAAGAATGGTAGGCTAAGAAACAATACAGAAAAGTTCAGAATAAATAAAAACCAAATACATAATAATGGTGGTTTCTGAGTTATCAGCATTTATTTAGTTAATAGTTTCAGAACTGGCTATTAAAAAAATTAAGTAAATTTTTATTTCACACCCCACATAAATTCACAACTGATTAAATATTTAAAAGTAAAACAAGGAAACCTCAAAAGTTCAGAGGAAGATATAAACAAGTATTTATGTAAGACTGGGAAGTACAGACAGACTAAGCATGATGGGGGCTGAGGGGAAAGACTATTAAGAACTAGAACTGGTCAGTATTTGGCTCCATAGTAAATTAAATCTTCTACACATTAAATAACTACATAAATAAAAACAAAAGGCAACAATCTAGAAACAAACATTTGCAACATGTGAAAGAGGGTTAAATCACTATATAAAGAACTCATAAATCAATAAAAATAAGAAAAATAGCAATAGAGAAATAGATATTGCTGTAATTTTAAAATGTAAATAATCACAAACAAAATATGTTCAATCTCAGTAAAAATAAAAGGAGCACTAATTGAAGCAATGTGGTACCATTATTCACCTATTAAAATTGGTATTGGATTTTAAAGAAAAATAAACTCTGTTGACAGGCTATCAGTCAATAGGCATGTGAATAAACACCGAAAGTCAGAGAATAAATTTGTACGTCTTTTGGTAAGGCAATCTGCCAATGTACACAAAATTTCTTTAAATTCTGCATGCTCTTTGACTCAGCAATTCCTTTTGGGAATTTAAGGAAATTATCATGTTTATGTATGCAAAGTTATCCACTAGGATGGTCTTCAAAATGTTCTCTGAAACAGTAAGGAATCAACCAACCAAATAAATGCTCAACAATAGGGAATAGGCTAAGTTATGGCACATTCATATTGGAGTATCATGTAGCCACTTAAAATCATGCACTTGCACATGAAGTAACGTAGGAAGACGTTTATGGTAAATTGCTGAGTGAAAGTTATCAGGTTCTAAAACACTGGATACTGCGAGATCCCATTCCCATTTTTTAAATGGGAACACTCTGAAAATTTATTTTGAGACAAAAATAAATCCTTCTGCAACTCGTCTGATAATATCATTTACATTTATATAAGCTCAGGTAGTGATGGAATTTAATCCTTCCTTCTATTACGAAAATCTGGTAGAAAAAATAATTTACTTACTCTTCCAATTTCTGCAGTCCAAGAAACAACAATGGTGTTTGGTACAGTTGTGGACAACCTGACAAGGGAGGTGATATTAATTGGTCGGCTAGGTCGCTTTGGTTCCACACCGTTTTTAGTAGGTGGAAGATAACCCTAAGGATGAAACAGAATTCATTTGACATTATTCCCATAACATCTCAACTTTCATTCCTTAAAAATACTTTACAAATGACATATTAGAAAATCTGAGTATTTTAGTTTAAAAGTAGAGAGACAATCATTTCTAAGAGTTTCTTGTATATTTCTCTAAACAACCCTACAGTCTCATTGTAGTAAGCCTGAAAAAATACTGGTAATAGAACTTAAAAATCTCTAAAATTTAAGAATTAGACTGAATTCTTAAAGAGCTCGGATAAGTCTATAAGGAATATTTTAAAGGTGAACAATAAGAACCCCCATTCCTGTTAAAGGTCCAGCATTCTTCAAATCTCTATGCTCCCACAAGCTTCCAGATCCACATGAATACATCTGAGGTTTTGTTGAAATCAACTCTTCTTCTCAAAATTCGGCACAACACTAAATCTACCACACCCAATGCCAAGTCCTAGACTCTGTCTCCACAGCTAATGTCACAGCTGTTAATTGTACATAGTTGGTACAAGTGTTTCACTCAGTCACATGAATATATATCCAAAATAAAGATGTTTTCTTAGGGGAAAAAACCCCTATGATTAACAACAGCTGTGATGACTTATTTGATAGCTATGTTGGCAATGCATTTAAAAAATAGTTTTTAGGACTTACTGGAAGGCTGCAAGGTTTTGTATTCACTTTCACACAAAGGTTGGGTGGGAAGTGATCTTCTTGCGGACAACTGGTTTCTGATAAACAAAACCTAAACAATAAAGGACAAGTTTAATTTCCTTTATTAAAGGATGACCTCATTAATATTTTTGCTCCATACTTAATCTAAAAGATGGTCAAACTTAACAATCAAAAACTACTAAAACTAGACATTTCACATGATGAATAAATGTATTTAAACAGGTTCAAAATAAATAATTCCATCAAAGTACAGTTTCAGTGCTCACAAGTACCAACCTGTAGTTGTTTTCATAATATTTCCAATCATTTGTTTAAGCATGTTTGGGTGGGGGAAGGAAGGGAAGGCACTCTGTGGTTGAATAAATTAAAGAAATTCTGAATCAAAAAATTAAGTTCCCTGAACATAGAACTAACTTCTCAGAGCTAGGCTAACAAGCACTGTAACTTTTTAAAAGGGAAATATACAGTATTTCTCAAACTTATGTGCCAGTAGAACAAAACATTGTTTTGGTTCTCAGCAGAACATACTGAAAATGCTAGCAGTGCACCCCCAGGATCAAGTTCTGTCCACTAAGCCCAGGTACTCCATTATTCCCTGGGAACTGAAGATGTTGAATAACATTATTTGTATTATATCCACAAGTATTTAGAATACTAGTTTAGAAAACATTCATTTCTAAATTAAATGTATAATCTTTTGAGAAAACCAAGGGCAGCTACGTAAGTTATAAATTCTCTATTCATTCTTACATAGATCAAGAAATAAATTATTAATTTGCTCTTTAAGACAACTATTCTTAATTACTTAATTATTCCCAATATACAACTGAGGCTCATTCCATATTTACAGAATGTTCATAACACCTTTGAGTTATATGTAAGATGAAGGCTGCCTCTGAATTCTGTGAAATACCCTAATGCACAAACATCTTTCAACATCTTTTTTTTGTGTGGGAGGATCCACAAAATGGGACAATTTTCTATGTCAAATCTCATGGATACACATATATGTTCATCTTTAAGGGGAGACAATCTATAGCTTCCGTCAGATTCTCAAAGGGATTAGAGATCCACGAAAGGGTAGAGAATTACTAATCTACAAACATTTTCTCAAAATATACTTAGCAAACAGATGTCATAGCTCTCAGGATCATCTCTAACCCCAGAAGAACCATCTATTACAGGCCAGTTCTTTACACCGCAACAGTAAGAGCATGCCATGAAGATTTAAATCAATTTATTCCAATGAGGTGATAAATTTGAAACATGGACCTGGCTGCCTGAAGCTATCGAGAAAGAGTAATTTATATGACAAGCTGACTCCTATTCAACTAAGTAAAAAGTGAAAATCTAAATCACCCTAACAAACCAAAGGGAAAAAACGGCAAACAATAGTATAAAGTTTCTGTATAGGAGTTCATGGCAGTGGGGAGTGGAAACAAATAAATGAAAACAGATTAGGAATCTAATAGAGAAAATGCTGACCCTAATTCTGACCAAATTCTTTTCATGTTTTAGAAAAACAATTGTAAGTAGATGATAGAAAAATGCCATATGATATTGCTTATATGTGGAATCTAAAAAAAAGGACACAAATGAACTTACCTACAAAACAGAAACAGACTCACAGACATAGAGAACAAACTTATGGTAAAGGGGGTGGGAAGGGATAAACTGGGAATTTAAAAATTGCACCTCTTGAGGATTGATGGAAATGTTAGATATCTTGATTGTGGTGGTGGTGTCATTGGTGTGTACATCTATCAAAATTCATCAAATTATACATTTGAAATATGTGTAGTTTACTGTATAGGAACCATATCACAATAAAAGTGTTAAAAAATAAAATAAAATGCATGTTCTGATTTGAAGAATACAACCTCTTTTGTATCACTCTCAAAAAAAAAAAAAGGATAGTAGACAGGTATATACTCCCCACTTAATACACTGGGATTGCTGTGAAGGGTGAGGAGGGTGGGGATGAAAACCTTTTTATTAAAACACAAAGAACCACCTAACAATTACCAAATATAATACAAAATGGCTCTTTTTTTCAACTTCTGGAGATAAATTTGAATTAAAAATGGCTAAGCCATTTTTAGCCATCAAAATTCCCTTAGAATCTCTGAACTGGTCTACCCCAGGGGGAAAAAACCTTCCTTTGGAATATGAACCGTACCTCTTGCTGATTTAAAGAACGCACATATGTTAATACTAAGGATAGTAACTAGATCTTTTGTTCCAGAGCTACAGTTTTCAAGCTTTATTTTAGTCTTAAGACTTTCCTCAAATAAAAACCCAGAAGTCGAACATGCAAAACAGATCAAAGCAAGCACTACTTTGATTCAGAGTGTGTATATATGGTGGGGTTAAGGGGGTTGGAGGGGTAGAAGGTGAAATGGTAGCCGGAGGGTAGATCCCAAAGGGTGGCTCCAGGCAACAATTTGAAAATCACTGTTTTAAAGGACAATATCACATATCATATGAACAAAATGTGAATTGTTGAGGCAGGAAGTAAAAAATATTACAGCAATATATAATTAATTATGAAGGCATCATATTTTAACCCTTTATTCAGTCATGATCATGGTCTGTCCCTGACAGAAGACAAAGTAGCTTTTACATAGAAATACCTTTGTTGGTGCCTTCCAAAAGCAAGACCTCAACCTCTCCTCCGCTTTCTCAGTCTTCACTATTTTTAAGCCTAGATCAGAGATTTCCACGTCGCTCCAGGAAGCATGGCGCTTTAGGCTCTTTTCAGATCTCCTATGTATCTACAACCTGTACGTAAAACTTAGGATTTGATTGTTGAGACTGGGCTACCTGACTTATCCTTCCCGCTTTACAGAGAAAACAGGCTGAGGCAGACAGTGGTCCTGTATTTCCTCTTCTACTACTGCAACTACAATAGCGCAGGGCACTTAGGCCGACACAAGTCTAGTCATTGACTAAAAAATCCAGCATAAGGTGGTTTATACAAGCCAGAGAGAGAGAGAGACATATTAACATAAAAGATTTCATAAGGTATTCTTAGAAGAAATGGGCTAAGAAAAGAAACTGAATATGGGGCAGTACCATGTTGGAAAATTTTCTTCTTGTCTTTGCAAAACTATAAAGAGATGTCTCACATGGAATCTAAATTAAGAGTGCATTTAAATTAATGATTTAAAATAACAGGACAAAGCAAATTAGACTATTTTGGTGGTTAGCCCATGAGACACTGTAGACTTAACCTAAGTACCAGTTCCTTATCTACAGTAGTTTGCCACTCATGTAGATAAGGTCTTTGCTTTCATAAAACTTGGTGCTTTTAAAGGGCTGACCTCTATGATATTTAAACATATCATTAGCTGGAGCTTATAAACCAACCAAAGGCAACCAAAATAGAGAAATGTGGTTAAATATATGTTACATGACTTGCTATATTAAAACTGAAATTGGATAATAATTAGGACATTTCATAATAGGAAAAGGTTTTCCCTCCCCTAAACATCTAAACCCAATACTTTCAATACTTGTTGAAAACTGGGTATATTTTTAATATCCTTAAGAAATATTAACTTTTAAACTTAGATATATACTTTAGCCATCACTGTACCTTAACTGGACCTGCACTGTGAAGTCACATTTGGTCCCAGAAATATCCCTAGAAAAGACAGAGGAAGAACTATAATTATTTTAAAGACATGCACATGAAAGCTGATTCAAAGACACTACTACTCTAGAAAGCATTGCAAATTAATCAGAGATACTAATTGTTCTCAGGGTAACTAACACTGTAATGTATTTTCAATACTAATATTTGCATGACACTAATACTCACCCAATACACTGTTCTAAAAAGTCACTTATCATGGACAGTACTGGATTCCAAAGTCAAACTGCAAGTTCTACTTGAAGACAACTTACATGGAACTACTGATCTGCTGCACTTGCTGTGGCGTCAATGCAAACGCAAAGCAGGTTTCTCGAAAGCGCTGACTGTTGTCTGATGCTAAAGAAGAAAAGGATTATACTTTTAATTATCTTCAAATTCATCAACAGAGAATACAATGCAAATAAAACAATGCACCTACTCACATGACTTTAAATTAACTAGGATGGATACTAGAGTTTAGATAAGTCAATTAAGGCACTGAAAAATAAGAAATGTGCCAAATATATAATCTTATAAACATTTTCATCTAAAATGCACACTTGTTTAAAAACAAATAATACAAACCCATTTAAAGATACATGGTTTCTCAGCTAAGTAACAAACATATACACCTTGAGATCTCCACAGGCGAGATGACATCTGGTCTTTAAGGCAAATTAAGAGTTTTACCATCTCCCGTCTAACTACATCATGCAAGTTTTATACAATAAATATATATAATTTCTCCTATGCTTAGATGACTTGACTTCAAAATTTGCCTGTGGTCACGATCTCAAAAGAGGAAAAACAAGAAGAAAGGAGGGAGGGAAGGAAGTGGAGGTGGGGAGAGAGAAAAGAGCAGGAGAGCAGACAAGCAAGCATAGGTCAGTGTGGACCAGGGATCCCTGCAGGCTGCTGCTGTGAGCAACAGTCCTACTGGCTTTTAATACATGTTTTATATATATTTAAAAAAAATCAGTGGTCAATATCCCTCTTTTTCACTAATGTTTTCTCAGTGCTTGGCACAAAGTGGCACTGAATGTCTGTTAAATGAACAAAAGACTGAAAACTAAGAAATACCAAATTAGGCAGACACTATGGAAAACAGTATGGCAATTCCTTAAAAAACTAAAAATAGAACTACCATATATGATCCAGCAATCCCATTCCTGGACATACATTTGAAGAAAACTCTAATTTGAAAAGATACATGCACCCCAATGTTCACAGCAGCACTATTTACAATAGCCAAGACATGGAAGCAACCTAAATGTCCATCAATAGATGACTGGATAAAGAAGTTATGGTATATACCTACAATGGAATACTACTCAGCCATAAAAAAGAATGAAATAATGCCATTTGCAACAACATGGATGGACCTAGAGATTATCATACTAAGTGATGTAAGTCAGACAGAAAAAGATAAATATCATATGACACAAATGATCTTATTTATAAAACAGAAAGAGACTCACAGACATAGAAAAGAAACTTATGGTTACCGAAGGCGAAAAGGAGAGTGAAGGGATACAATAGGAGTCTGAGATTAGCAGATACAAACTATTATATACAAAATAGATAAACAACAAGGTCCTACTGTATAACACAGGGAACTATATCCAATAGCTTGTAATAACCTATATTGAAAAAATATGAAAAAGTATTCATATGTGTAACAATCACTATGCTATACCTCTGAAACTAACACAACATTGTAAATCAACTGTTTCAATTTAAAAAAAAGCCAAATTAAATTATTTAAACTATATTTTTCCAGGGTAATTTTCTAGAACAAATGGATCACTAAAAGTTACTACCAAGGAATTCCCAGCATGTGAGCCACTTAAACCTGTGCAGAAAAAGTAGCTAAACTTGGCCATCTCTTACTTTCAAGCAATACTTCCTCCAAGACTACCACCAAACCATAGTATGTCATGCTAAAAAATCTGTACAAATGCAAAAAGGCACTGTTGATCTACAATTTCATGTCAATACAGGAGTATCTTTTAAAGTCTAAATTTGCATTTCTGCATTCTGTGATCTGGGAAGACTTTTTTCTTAAAGACTCTATCTCCAAGAAATAGTTACTAACTAGAAAGTTACCTTAATTGTGAAATATCAACCTGCAAAGAGGCTGATAATCAACAATCAGAATGTAGAAAAGTAAACAGTTTCCTCTGTTAAACAATGAAGGTAACTACTTTGAGTCTTAGAGGATATATCTCTATGAAGATTTCAGTCCAGTAGGCTTAGCCCGATTTAGATTATTGGCTTCATTCTAGAAAAGTGCTAAAAAAATTTCTGAAGTACTAAAACCCATCATCTCTAGGCAAAATTTCAGATTCATTTTAGAATATATGAGTACAGTAAGTTTTGGACACACATATGCAGATTTAAATAGAGAAGTTATGACTAAAATGACGAGACTGTTTCTTGAGCCACAAGCAAAATTCAGGTTTATTACTTAATACTAATGCCTATTTACATCTCTTTTACAGACAGTTGACTGGAATGCTCATGGGGTTATTACTGTTTAACTGGAAAAGTGTCTTTCATACTATGATTTTCAGGTTTAATTTTGCTATGAATGCCAGTGAATTTATACTTTTGGTCTTAGATAACAGACTATTTAAAATTTTTTTAAAAGTGAATTAAACTATCATTATCCCTTTCAGAAAAATGACACCAAACAGATTCAAGGAATCTTCATATTGAAAAAGGAGTCTTACAAATCATCCAAAATAACGACCTCCAGGGTTGGGGAAATGCATTCAGATGGATACACAAGACAATCCACAGGGATAAAGGAACAAATACCTATCTACTTACAAAACGGAAGTGTAAAAAGTCCAGCTTTTACATAAAATCTAATTTACAAAAACATCTAAAGCTTTATGTCAATCTGAAAAACTTCCATTTTTGGTGTGTTTTATAACATACACAATATTAGTATAATAGTTTAATGTATAACACATATATGGTATATACTAAATTTTTTTGCTGAGAGGTACAAATGATCAAAGTTTGCAGACCATTGTTCTAGACAGAGTTCAACTTTCCTTTCAGTTTTTTCATTTATAGTTTGTGCCCTTTTAGCCATGGAGGAAGAGGGGCCATTACCTTGTCAGACAGGAGATGACTGGCGATGAACAGTGTAACTGTAAGAAAGCTTGCAGCCCAACAGAGTAGCAAAGTTTAGTGGAAAGAGATGAGATCACAGAGACCTCGATTCCAAACTGGTCTTACCATTTACTTGCCATGTGACCTTAGGTACTTATCCATTCTCAGTCTGTTTTCTGTAATATTTAAACATAAATACACACACACACACACACCCCCTCACTGGGTTATTTGAAATATAAATGAAGTAAGGTATTTAAAACAAGCGCCAACTTCCTTTAATGTCTCCCCTCCTCATGTTCTTACACTGAATCAAAAAATATAATCCTGTAACTCCTATCCATAGATGTCATACAGCATATCCAATCACAGCCATTCTACAAATATTTACAAATATTTCAGACAACATTAATGTGCCCCCTTCTCTCCATGAACTCTTCCCACCGTATTCCAGGCAAGATTTCAGAATGACTCCCCCATCCTGATCCTTCTCCTTTGGATATATCTCAGGCTATCACACTCTTAAAGTGACAGCCAGAACTGCACACACTGTCATAACATATATCATTTCTCCAAAATACCTGCTGCCTCTCTGTAGTGGCCCATCCCTGTGCCACTGATAGTAGCCCTGATCAATGAAGTATGAGTGGAAGTGTACCACTTCTGAGCAGACCTTTAAGAACTATCCTTGGGCCTTAGCATCTTTCTCTCCAGTCTGCCTTGATTCTAGAGTGAATAAAACATACAGCAGAGGCACAGCCAACCTGCAGTTAATAAATAATGTAAGTGAGAAATAAATCTTAGTTGTCTGACACTGAAATTTCTGATTGCCTGTAAGCTGACTGATGTATTATTCCATATGTGATATGATTAGCATAGTATTTTTTTATCAACAACTACTATTGTTAATCCACACAAAAATCATGAAGAAAAAGTATCTGCTCTTTTTTCAGATTTAGAAATTGAGGTTCAAAGTAGTTATGTAATTGTCAAGGCCTCACAGAAGGTACGCAGAACCAGATACGGAGCTCGGCTCTACACATTTCCAAAGCCCATGCTCTTCTCGTCACATAGGTCTAATCAGCTCCCCTGATCCACATGGTTTATTTTTATTAATACAGCCTAGCATTATACTGGATCTTAGAAAACCGGAAAAGAATTATCCACGATACCTTCATCATAACTGCTTATCATTTTTACATTTCTTTCCAATCAAATTATACATATAATTTGAAAGATTGCTTTTTAAAAATTGCCCTTAACATATTTTCAATCACAATCCCTATTAACATATTTAATTACTGCATTGTATACTATCTATGGGGTATATGAAAATTTTACCCCACTGCATATGGGTATCCAGTTGTTCCAGCACTATTCATTGAAAAGACTTCTTTTTCAACTAAATTGTCTTTTACACCTAAGTCAAAGATCAGTCTTTCATATATATGTCGGTAAAAATATATACAAAGGGCCAATAAGCACATGAAAAGATGCTTAATATCATTAGTCATTAAAAAATGCACATCAAAACCACATACCACACAAAACCAGAAACACTTCAAAATTTCTAGGATGGCTATAATTACAAACAAAACAGAAAACAAGAGTTGGTGAGGACATGGAGAAACTGGAACCCCTCATACACTGATGATGAGAATATTAAAATGGTGTAGATGCTGTGGAAAACAATTTGGCAATTCCCAAAAAAGTTAAACATGGAATTATCACTAAGACTCAGCAATTCCACTCGTAGGTATATACTACTACAAAGAATTGAAAGCAGGGACTCCAACAGATGCCTGAACTCCAATGTTCATAACATCTTTATTCACAATAGCCAGAAGATAGAAGAAATCCACATGCCTACCAACAGATAAATGGATAAACAAAATGTGGTCTGTTCATACAATGGAATATATTATTCAACCATAAAAAAGAATGAAGTTCTGATACAATATGGATAAACCTTGAAAACACTATGTTAAGTGCAATAAGACAGACACAAAAGGGCAAATACTGTATCATTCCACTTATACATCCAGAATAGGCAAATTCATACAGACACAAAATAGATTAGGGGTTCGTAGCGGCTGAGGGAAGGAGGAATGGGAAGTTAATGTTTGATGGGTACAAAGTCAGTGTTTGGGGTGATGTAAATTCAGAAATAGTGGTAATCATTGCACAACAGTGTGAATGTAATTAATACACTGAATTATACACTTAAAAATGTC